CCTATAAGAGGGTGCCTGCATTTCCAGCCATCTCTCCATGCTTTTCATAGCCCGAAGTTATATGGGCACCTTTCTCAGTTCTGGTGCTCTCTGCTGGGGCCCTAGCTGGGGTTTAGACCCCAGAGTTCTCAGTGGGAACACCCCACAGCTGAGATAGCCCTCCACACCTTCAGCTGCTGACTGTGAGAGCCTGGCCAGCCTTTTCCTGTCTCCACATTTCCTTAGCAGTCTCTACTTGGTCTCCACTTTCCATGTTTGGTTATGAGGATTCTCTCCAGCTAATATTCAGTTTATTACTAGTTTTTCTGTATTTTAGTTGTATTTCCAGTTTGGTCCTGGGAGAGTGTCAGTGTAGCTTCTACTTACTCCGTCATTTTTAAGCCTATATCTGAATATTTTGTATTGTCTTATTGTTCTCATTTCATTCAATAGTGCTCTCATTTTTTTAATAAATATATTTTATTGATTTTTTACAGAGAGGAAGGGAGAGAGATAGAGAGTTAGAAACATCGATGAGAGAGAAACATCGATCAGCTGCCTCCTGCACATCTCCTACTGGGGAATGTGCCCGCAACCGAGGTACATGCCCTTGACCGGAATCGAACCTGGGACCCTTCAGTCCGCAGGCCGACGCTCTATCCACTGAGCCAAACCGGCTTTGGCGAGTGCTCTCATTTTTATTATTTCCTTTCTGCTGCTGACTTTGGATTGCTTTTGTTCTTTTCTTTCTAGTTTTTTAAGATGTAATATTAGGTTGTTTATTTGGGATTTCTCTTGTTTCTTGAGATAGGCCTATAATGATATAAGCTTTCCTCTTGTTACTGCTTTTGCAGCATCACAGAATTTCTGATATGTCATATTGTCATTCTCATTTGTCTCTATATATCTTTTGATCTCACCCTTTATTTCTTCTTTGACCCAGTCATTTTGAATGTTTATGTGCGCTGGAGAAGAATGTCTGATCTGATGTTTTTGGATGAAAGACTCTCTGTCAATTTTGTCTATTTGGTCTGTGTCCTTCAAGGCCAATATTTCTTAATTAATTTTCTGTTTGGATGATGTTTCTAGAGCTGTCACTGAAGTATTAAGGTCCCCAACTATGGTTGTGTTTTGGTCTGTTTCTCCCACCATTAGTTCTGTGAGGAGTTGCTTTCCATATTTCGGTGCTCCCTGATTGGGTGCATATATATTGAGAAGTGTTATGTCTTCTTGATGTAATGTCCCCTTTGTCATTATAAAATGTCCATCTTTATCTCTATTACCTTTGTTATCTTGAAATGTATTTTGTCACATATATGTATAACTACACCTGCCTTTTTCTGGGTTTTATTTGCTTGGAGAATCATTTTCCACTTTTTCACTTTGAACCTACTTTTGTCTTTGCAGCTTAGATATATCTCCTGAAGGCAGCATATGGTTAGGTTTTGTTTTGATCCAGTCTGCTACTCTGTACCTCTATATTGGTGAATTCAGTCCAGGTGCATTTTTTTTAAAAAAAATTTTTTATTGGTTTCACAGAGGAAGGGAGAGGGAGAGATAGAAACATCAATGATGAGAGGATCGTTGATCAGCTGCCTCCTGTGTGTCCCACACTGGGGATTGAGCCTGCAACCTGGGCTTGTGCCCTGACTAGGTGCAGTTTTAATATGCTGTTGCATCAGAATGAGCGTATAGGGGAGTTTTGGGTTATTCTTTGGTCTGTTTCACTGTTATCTTAGCTGTCTGGCTTCAATGGGGTTTTGTTATTTGTTACCAGACATTATCTGTCCTTGGGTTTAGCTGACACAAATGGCATTAATTGGGCCTTTGTTCTTTATTTTCC